CAAGCTTGCTCTAATTGCATAATTAAAAAACGACGGACATAGCTCGAAAGACGTGGCCGCACTGCTATATGAGCAACTATAGCTGCGCTACGGCCTGGATGTATCGAAGATGGCACGTTTACGATCTCGGATACGACTCCAGCTTCAAGAAAAGTATCGCGTTCATTTGATTCAACTCTGCAGATCGATTGTACTATGCCTTCTTACTCTCTGTATTTGTTACGGGATCGGCTTGAAAGAAAACGTGCGCAATGGGTACGCGAAGGACCCGAAGGCTTAGCTGATTATCAAGAAGAGAACGGTTGTAACGGAAGGAGGTACTTTCCCCGAGGGCGCGGGTTTGGAAGAATTTAAAATGGGTCACCTACAGGTCTGGTCTCGATCGGGTCTCGAGACCAATTTGCGAGACCAGACCGACAGTGAATTCAAAGGATTGCTGCTTTTTATTTGCTGCTAGGCTCGGAACAAAACGAGGAAACCTTCCTAGCAGCCCAGACACGTATCATATCTAACCTACATCCTACTGCAGGTGAGTCCTCGTAAAAACACCTGTTGCAATGCCCCAGCCTACACTACTGCAGAATCACTCGCGTCGTCTCCCTCGTATTCGAACGGAAACTCGTGGGCATTTTCGTCGCTGTCGTTGGCACTGCTGTCTGAGTCGCTGTTGCTATCCGCTGCCTCCGCCGCATCATCAGCGCTATCCTCTGCCTCCGCTGCATCATCAGCGCTATCCGAATCATCCGAGTAGTCCTCGACGCCCTGCCCAGAATTGACACCTTCCTCAGCAGCGTCAGACTCGTCCGTCGATTCAAATTTAACTGCACGTGGCAATTGAACGTCGTAGCGGGGGCGCTTGCGTGCTCGTGAGGGAGTGTCCAGGCGGCGCTGTACATGTCCACGTGCTAGCCGCTCAATTGTGCTGACGAAAACAGGTAACGTGTCGTGTGGTGCGCTGAATGCCCCGTTCATCTCCCGATTAAAACGTTCTAACGGATTATTAGTCCGGCTCACCAGGCCACGATCAAGTCCATGGACGTTCTAAACTTCAGGATCGTAATTTTTGATCCACACCTTGGCAGAATAACGCCAGAAACGTTCCCACTTAGTTGCAGAGTAGACGATGCCAGCTTCATCGCACTTCTCCCGAATACTCTGCTGAACAAAGCGCACACCCTTCGTCTTGATATGCTTCCGTTTGATAACGGTAAGCATATCAAGAACACCAGGTTGCATAGCAATTCGAATTTGAGCCTCAGGAATCGCCAGCTTCTTCATCTTTCGCCTCACCGCCTGCTTAAAGTAAAAAAAGCAGCCGATGCGCTGTGCTTCTGGAAATTGCACAGCAACAGCATTGATAAGAGCAGCCTCAAAGTCGCATACTATCGCCGCCGGTCGAATCTTCTCGTCGGTGCATTCAACGATGAAGTTGAAGATATTCCAATACGTATATTGTGTTTTCGACGTGCAGAGGATGTAGAAAATAGGGACATAGAGCCCAGTTGCCTGGTCGAGTACCATGATAACCACGCATTGCCGAAACTGCGATGGGACGCAACGGAATGTTGCGTCCACGAAGATCGTTGTGCCAGCGTACATTAGCAGACGGATTAACTCGGGATGAGCCCACCCGATAATCCTCTGCGGCTGGTTTGGGTTTCGCTGCATGTCTTCGTAGTAGATGTGATGGAACTGAAAAAAACGAAGAGTTGAGTTTTTCACCAGTGACAGCGGCGGTATCTCCAGACGCCCATGCACTTCTCCGCCGTCGTGATTGCGCCTTCTATTAAACACACGAGTGATCACCTGCTCTCGCGTGAGACCGACGACAGCACGGCCAGGCTCTGCTTCAGTGTAGAACTCTTGATTGACAATATCCCACACGTGACGAGCAGTACTCGATAGCTCCGAAATTGCAAGAGCGTCAATTCGACGCTTCATCTCCTCGACGACGTTGGCCTCTTGTACAGCGAATGCAACCCTAAGCTGGCAGGTGTGCTCGACAAGGACGGTGTACGCATCCTGTAGTAGCGTCCGTTCAGCTTTAGCTCGGCAGCCCGTCCGCCGATAGCTGCTGCAGCGGTAGGTAGCCTTTCGCCGTGAAATGCGTGCCCGTGTGAGCTGAAAGCCGTCGATGAAAACAACCGTAGCAAATTGGGCCGAGCGTTGAGCATGCTGCGGAGCTGGTGGAGGGTCGGGTGGCCCCGACTCGATCGCTGGGGTCTCTGCCATCGTATTGACTGTTAGGAAGATGGAGACTGCTCGCAAAATCCTGTGAACATCTGCCGAACACCGGCCCCCCCTTCATCGTTACGATGCGTGGCAACCACTCATTCAACTTGACAAGCACGAGGTTGTGTCGGCCCTCAACTCATCCCCAAGATTGCAACTAATGATGATTTGGTTTGTGTTTGCAGACAATTTTTTATCTTCGTGATTGTATTAGTGACGCTGAAAGGAGACCCGATGGAGAC